TCAATATAAGTTTCTCCCTCACTCACCATGTCCCTCAGTGTAAGTTTAAGTGTTACTCATCATGTCCCTCAGTGTAAGTTTCTCTCTCACACACCATGTCCCTCAATGTAAGTTTCTCTCTCACTCACCATGTCCCTCATTGTTAGTTTCTTCCTCACTCACCATGTCCATCAATGTAAGTTTCTCCCTTACTTACCATGTCACTATGTGTCAGTTACACTGTCATTCACTATGTCATCAAGATAAGTAATACTGTCACCTTCCATTCCTCAATGTAAGTTTAACTGATACTCACCATGTCCATCAATGTAAAGTTCTCTCTCATCCACCATGTCCATCAATGTAAGTTTCTCCCTTATTTACCATGTCAATCAACATAAGTTTCTCAATCACTCAGCATGTCATTCATTAACAAATTCTCATTCACTCACTGTGTCAATCAATATAGGTTTCTCACTCACTCACTCACTATGTTCCTCAGTGTTAGTTTCTCCGTCACTCACCATGTCAATTAATATAAGTTTAAATGTGTCTCACCATGTCCATCAGTGTAAGTTTCTCACCCACTCAGCATGTCATTCATTAACAAATTCTCACTCACTCACTGTGTCAATCAATATCAGTTTCTCACTCACTCACCATGTTCCTCAGTGTTAGTTTCTCCGTCACTCACCATGTCAATTAATATAAGTTTAAATGTTACTCACCATGTCCATCAGTGTAAGTGTCTCACTCACTCACCATGTCCATAAATGTAAGTTTCTCTTTCACACACCATGTCCCTCAGTGTACGTTTCCCCTCAATCACCATGTCCATCAACATAAGCTTCTCACTCACTCACCATGTCAATCAATATAAGTTTCTCATTCACTCACTGTGTCAATCAATGTAAGTTTCTCCCTCACTCACCATGGCAATCAATGTAAGTTTCCTCCTCACTCACCATGTCATTCAATAAAAACTTCTCACTCACTCACCATGTCAATCACTAAAAGTTTCTCATTCACTTACTGTGTCAATCAATGTAAGTTTCTCTATCACTCAGCATGTCATTCATCAACAAATTTTCATTCACTCACTGTGTCAATCAATATAAGTTTAACTGTTACTCACCATGTCAATCAGTGTAAGTGTCTCACTCACTCACCATGTCAATCAATATAAGTTTCTCACTAACTCACCATGTCAATCAATATAAATTTCTCACTCACTCACCATGTCAATCAATATAAGTTTCTCACTCTCTTACAATGCCAATCAATATAAGTTTCTCATTCACTCACCATGTCAATCAATATAAGTTTCTCCCTCACTTACCATGCCAATCAATATAAGTTTCTCATTCACTCACCATGTCAATCAATATAAGTTTCTCACTCACTCACCATGTCAATCAATATAAGTTTCTCACTCACTTACCATGTCGATCAATATAAATTTCTCACCCACTCACCATGTCAATCATTATAAGTTTATCACTCACTCACCATGTCCATTAATGTAAGTTTCTCTCTCACTCACCATGTCAATCATTATAAGTTTATCACTCACTCACCATGTCAATCAACATAGGTGTCTCACTCACTCACCATGTCAATCAATATAAGTTTCTCACTCACTTACCATGCCAATCAATATAAGTTTCTCATTCACTCACCATGTCAATCAATATAAGTTTCTCACTCAACCACCATGATAGCGAATATAAACTTCTCACTCACTCATCAGGTTCCTCAGTGTAAGTTTCTTCCTCACCCACCATATACATCAATATAAGTTACACTGTCACTCACCATGTCCATCAATGTAAAGTCCTCTCTCACTCACCTTGTCCCTCGTGTACATGTTTCCATCAATCACAATGTCCATCAATATAAGTAACACTCTCACCTTCTATGTCCCACAATGTAAGTTTCTACCTCACTCACCATGTCAATCAATATCAGTTTCTCACTCACTCCCCATGTCAATCACTATCAGTCCTCACTCACTCACCATGTAAATCAATATAAGTTTCCCAATCACTCGCCATGTCAATCAATATAAGTTTCTCTCTCGCTCACTATGTTCCTCAAAGTAAGGTTCTCTCTTACTCACCATGTCCCTCAATGTAAAGTCCTCTCTCACTCACCCTGTCCCTCAGTGTACGTTTTTCCCTCATTCACAATGTCCATCAATATAAGTAACACTGTCACCTTATATGTCCCTCAATGTATGTTTCTACCTCACTCACCATGTCCCTCAGTGTAAGGTTCTCTATCACTCACCATGTCCCTCAGTGTACGTTTTCCCTCATTCACCATGTCCATCAACATAAGTTTCTCACTCACTCACCATGTCAATCAATGTAAGTTTCTCACTCACTCATCATGTCAATCAATATAGATTTCTCACTCACTCACCATGACAATCAATATAAGTTTCTCCCTCACTTACCATGCTACATAATATAAGTTTCCCACTCACTCACCATGTCCCTCAGTGTAAGGTTCTCACTCACTCACCATGTCCCTCAGTGTAAGTTTCTCACTCACTTGCAATGTCCCTCAGTGTAAGTTTCTCCCTCATTCACTAGTCCCCCTCATTGTACGTTTTTCACTCATTCACCATATCCATCAATATAAGTTACACTGTCACTCACCATGTCCCTCAGAGTAAGATCAACTGTTAATCACCTTGTCAATCAATATAAATATCTCACTCACTCATCAGGTTCCTCAGTGTAAGTTTCTTCCTCACCCACCATATACATCAATATAAGTTACACTGTCACTCACCATGTCCATCAATATAAGTTACACTGTCACTCACCATGTCCATCAATTTAAAGTTCTCACTCACTCACCATGTCCATCAATGTAAGTTTCTCTCTCACTCACCATATCCCTCAGTGTACGTTTCCCCTCACTCACCATGTCCATCAACATAAGTTTCTCCCTCACTCACCATGTCAATGAATGTAAGTTTCTCTCTCACCCACCATATCAATCAAGATAGGTTTCTCATTCACTCACTATGTCAATAAATGTAAGTTTCTCCCTCACTCACCATGTCATTCAATATAAGTTTCTCCCTCATTCACCATGCCAATCAATATAAGTTTCCCACTCACTCACCATGTCAATCAATATAAGTTTCTCTCTCGCTCACTATGTTCTTCAAAGTAAGGTTCTCTCTTACTCGCCATGTCCCTCAATGTAAAGTCCTCTCTCACTCACCCTGTCCCTCAGTGTACGTTTTTCCCTCATTCACAATGTCCATCAATATAAGTAACACTGTCACCTTATATGTCCCTCAATGTATGTTTCTACCTCACTCACCATGTCCCTCAGTGTAAGGTTCTCACTCACTTACAATGTCCCTCAGTGTAAGTTTCTCCCTCATTCACTAGTCCCCCTCATTGTACGTTTTTCCCTCATTCACCATATCCATCAATATAAGTTACACTGTCACTCACCATGTCCCTCAGTGTAAGATCAACTGTTAATCACCTTGTCAATCAATATAAATATCTCACTCACTCATCAGGTTCCTCAGTGTAAGTTTCTTCCTCACCCACCATATACATCAATATAAGTTACACTGTCACTCACCATGTCCATCAATTTAAAGTTCTCTCTCACTCACCATGTCACTCGATATAAGTTTCTCCCTCACTCACAATGTACATCTATGTAAGTTTATCTGTCACTTACCATGTCAATCGATGTAAGTAACACTGTCACTTTCCATGTCCCTCAGTGTAAGTTCAACTGTTACTCACCATATCCATCAATATACATTTCTCACTCACTCACCATGTTCCTTAGTGTAAGTTACACTGTCACTCACAATATCCGTCAATTTAAAGTTCTCTCTCACTCACCATGTCACTCGATATAAGTTTAACTGTTACTCACCATGACCTTCAATATCAGTTTCTCCCTCACTTACAGTTTCCCTCATTATAAGTTTATCACTCACTCACCATGTCCATCAATATAAGTTACACTGTCACTCACGATGTCCATCAATATAAGTTACACTGTCACCTTTCATGTCCCTCAGTGTAAGTTCAACTGTTACTCGCTATGTCCTTCAGTGTAAGTTTCTCCTTCACTAACCATGTCCTCAGTGTACGTTTTTCGCTCACTCACCATGTCCCTTAATGTAAGTTTCACTGTCACTCACCATGTCCATCAATATAAGTTTCTCATTCACTCACCATGTTCATCAGTGTTAATTTCTCCCTCACTCACCATGTCCATCAATGTAAGTTTCTCATTCACTCACCATGGCTATCAATGTAAGATTATCACTCACTCACCATGTCAATCAATATAAGTTTCTTACTCACTCACCATGTTCCCCAGTGTTAATTTCTCCCTCACTCACCATGTCACTCAGTGTTAATTTCTCCCTCAATCACCATGTCAATCAATATAAGTTTCTCACTCACTCAGCATGTCAATCAATATAAGTTTCTCACTCACTCACCATGTCCATCAATGCAAGTTTCTCTCTCACTCACCATGTCCATCAAAGTAAGTTTAACTGTTACTCACCATGTCCATCAATGTAAGTTTCTTACTTACTCACCATGTCAATCAATATAAGTTTCTCACTCATTCACCATGTCAATCATTATAAGTTTTTTCACTCACTCAACATGTTCCTCAGTGTTAGTTTCTCGCTCACTCACCATGTCAATCAATATAAGTTTCTCACTCACTCACCAGGTTCCTCAGTGTCGGTTTCTCACTCACTCACCATGTCAATTAATATAAGTTTCCCACTCACTCATTATGTCAATCGTGATAATTATTTCTGTCACTCACCATGCATTTCACTCAATGTAAAGTTCCCTCTCACTCACCATGATCTGCAGTTATTTATATTTCCCTACCGGATTCTCGTAAAACTACAGTATTGCATTTGAATACTTCCGATATTTTTGGCTATTACTTGTATCTATATTACCATTTTGGTCAATATTTATATCTTTATTTACTGATTTCAGATGACATCTGTTATCCAGTTCTTCGCCCGGATGTTGAATGAGGTGGAATCCAGATTTACATGTATTGAACGTATTCATGAGTATGAAGTATGCAGCACGACTCTGTTATTTTACTTTGCTCCTCGTCTCTTTTCTTTTCTTTTGATTTAATTTAATTTCACATGTTATTCACAGATATCATGGTACATATACATATTTACAGATAAGTTCATCAATATGACCTACGCAAATAAGTGAATCACGTTAAACTATATTTACTTGATGCAAAATGGAATTAGCTATAGTTTGAAGCCATATTGTTTAAAAGAATGTAAATGAGATTGTAGTCTTCATTGAGCTAAATGATTTCAAAAACCAATATTCGCCTTTAATTTGGTTATCTTTCCCATCCTATAGGTGTTGAACTAAATGTCCATTATGACGATATTCAATATAGGGATACATCACAACCAATATCTAATTGGTAATTTTTAATACACCAACAGATATTTATACAGAAACATAAAATGGAATCGACAAAATAGTTGTGTTGTGCTTTCAACCAAGCATTATAATAAAGAGCTGAATAGCCATGTGTGCCCACAACTTCACATTCGGTAAATCGCTTCAAAATTGGACATTGGAAAAGAGCTTTTTTTGTGGATGAGTCCAAGTTTCTGCTTTATCAAGCAGTCGTCTGAGGTTGTGTCAAAATATGTCCATGAGCGCTTTCACAAGCTCGAAAAATAAAGAATATCCGCTTTCGAGGGGGATTTTGTGAGAGTTTGCTGAGGGGTAGCACATGCTTGTAAGGTTCTCCTAGTGTTTTAATTCAATGACATTTAACTTTTACGGGGCAATTGACCGATGTTCTTGCAGAGCAACGCACAGTTGCCTGTTGGGAGGACCGTGGTGACTTTCTGACGGCAAACAATGTCCCCACACTAGATTTTTCCTTCGCTGCCCTTAACACTCCTTGCTAAAACATAATGCAATTTTGTAAAATGAAAAGGCGTAGAATGACAATTCCTATCAACATCGAGCAGTTGGCAGCATGGAACCGTATAACAGAGAGGGGCGCCAATGTTCTGATCAGTCCAAAGAACAAACACGTGCATGTAACCACAACAGGTCAATGAAAAGGGGGAGGTGAACACAGGGCTTTTATGCGTTCAAAATGCTCTTTTGTTGGAGAGAAACGTTTATGTATTTCGTTTGGTTTAAATTGGTATAAAATGATGATCCTCCGGTGATTTTAGTGATGGGTGGAGCCTCTACGGTAAAATAACAATGCTATCTAATGTACAACCCAAAAGTACAACAAGGAAAACACAGCATTCGGCCGATCAGATGTCCCTGCATGTGAAATTGAAGCATGTTATTTGAACTGGGATCCCTGATCCTTTTCGATATATCAGGGTTATCTGGCTCTTAACCTCGATTAAAACTTAAAACAATTACAATAGTTTCCCTTTATGTTTGATGTTGTGACATATCTGTTTAGATCCTCGACATCGAGAGGGAAACTGGGAGTTCGAAAGTAGACGAAAACTGGCCAAGCCAAGGAAGGATAACATTCTCCAATGTGATGATGAAATACCGAAGTGACATGGATCTGGTGCTGCAGAACATCAGTTTCGATATTCTTCCCAAACAGAAGGTCGGCATTGTCGGCCGCACGGGAGCGGGTAGGAAAAGTTTTAGTTTCAATTGTTTGTTTTTGGCTTTGTTTTGTTTTGTTTGTTTGCTGAAAACACAATTTCATACTTGTTCATCACGTCTGTAAATTTTGAGAATTTGTTTTAGATATTACAGGCCTTCAAATTTACTTACCTCAGCACATCAACAAAATTGTAAAAATTGATTTCTAAAATGACACATACCCGCCCCTTTATTATCAGATCTATGAAAAAATAACATTTTTTACGTTGAGTTAGACAAAATAGTATTCGGAAAGAAATTTGTTTCTGCCATGAAATGTGTATTTGTTATTCAATTTAATTTTTTTTTTTTACTTATTTGTTTTGTATTTCAGCAAATTGTTTGCAAATATACTTGAAATCTCATTAACAGCCTTCAGAAATAGCATTCAAACCAAAACATTTTATTCATTTATTTATTTTCTCTTGATTATTACACTACATTCTTTCTATTTAAACCATTGCTTTCATCATTCATTTGTGTTAATATTAAAGAAAAAAGGCAAGAATAAGTGTGTAATATATAAAGGCTGAGCAATACAGTTTGCGTTTCTGAATTGAAACCAGTTCTACGCAACAAAACACAATTGGTCGGTATCACTATAAATTTGTGTTTGATATAATAAGTACAAAAAAAATACATTACAAATTGGCCTTGTAAGTGCCTAATAACTACAAGTTTTCAACTCAATATTGGGAAAAGTCTAATAAACGTCTCTCGCTATGTTTGTTTATGTATATAGGTAAATCCTCCTTGGCCGCGGCGCTCTTCAGATTGACGGATATATCAGGAGGGCAAGTGGTTATTGATGACGTAGAAATTGGAACTGTATCGCGTAAACTTTTGCGTTCAATGTTGTCGTCGATTCCACAAGACCCTGTCCTTTTTGCTGGTACACTTAGGTGAGTTTTGTAAAATAAAAATGTTTGTAAACATTCTTTTCTAAATCGGTCCAGTATTTGTTTCATGTAGTACATTGGCGCGCATAGAAGTATTTTTCATCAGTCATTCCCAGCATTCATTGTTAAACCTTATGTATGAAGACAGAATTGTTTCGCGTTCGTGGTTAATTAATAAACGTTTTGAGTAAAACTTTATCTTATCTCTCAACAGGTATAATCTGGATCCCTTTGAGAAGTACACGGACGCAGACATCTGGACCGCACTTGAACAGGTCCATATGAAAGAAAAGGTGTGTTGACAGGGATTTTAGTTTAGTTTTTGATCTTTTAACCTATTAAACCTTTTTACATACTAGTCCTAAAGTTTTTACATATTAGTCCTAAAGATTTTACATACTAGTCCTAAAGTAATTTAATCGCTATATATGGATAGAGAGACGAGCATATAACTATTGTTTATTATTAGTTAGATAAAAGGATCATATGGCACATTTGTAGGGGTCTGAATAACGTAAATATTCCCAACGAAGTAGTAGTCCTATTTTATAGAGAGAGAACAAACCTAACATGTTAAACAATGGAATAACAACGTGCATGTTTAACAGTGAAGTAAAATATTGTTGACTTCAACACTTTGTAATCTACAGCAAAAAAAAACTCATTGCTTTATCTTTTAGGGCCCGTATTCATGATACTCTTCTCATGCTCAAGCATGGATTCTGTGCTCAAACCCACTTTTTTGTTACTCGCTTAAATCATGTAAAACACTCAAAATGTCACAGGTAAACATTGAAAACAGTTTTTGGGCTTTCAGTTCCTTCAAGTCTTTTTCAAATCACTGACAAAAGGAGGTTTGTTTGTAAACTTATAGTGAAAACAAGAAATTCGGCTTGAGCACAAATCCTATTTTATCAAAAGTTGACATGTTTAACAAAGGAATAACAACGTGCATGTATAACAGTGGAATAAAATACTATCTACAGCAAGAACAATCATTGCTTTATTGTTGAGATTTTTTTTTTCCTTTGTGAAATTTGTAAGTTAATATGTTGATTATTCATTTAGATGAAACTCCTTGAACAGACTCTTGCCTTATACATTGTGGAAAATGGAGAAAATTTCTCTGTGGGTGAACGACAACTAATATGTTTGGCACGTGCAATCTTACGTCAAAATAAGGTAGGAATACATTGAAGGAAACCCAAAACTTGCAAAAAGGAACGAATTTACAAATTACCTAATCAAAGTATTAGCGGAATATAAGGAATGCTATTCTGTAAATAATCAGATACATGACAAATGTTAATACATAGATCATGTTATATGAGATATAAAAAAAAACCACATCAATTTGTCTATTAAAACTATTTGGGTAAGTACATAAAAAAAATATATATGGAGCCCATCAGAGATTTCTGATTAGTCGTTTCTGTAATCAATCTTAATGCAAAGTATGACAAGTCTTTGTACTGTATTTCCAAATTGCTTGTCATTTTTCTGAATAAGGGTTGCTTGCCAGGTTACTTTAAGGAGGAAGATTTATAAATACAGGAAATACATTAACTTGAAAGAGATAGCTCCCCCATGATGCTTTGATCTCGAGCTTTTCAAATATAAATCAAAAAGATTATCCACTTCGCTATCAGTCATAGTATTTGCTATGCTGATACGTTTTTGCAACATTCCTGGAATAAGCTACATTTTTTTTTAAATCCCTGAAAAGGTCCACAACCTGTATTTGCCTTTCTGTTGATAAAGAAAATGAAGCATGAATTTGACTTGCACAGGAAAGTGGTGAGAATGGAAAATAATGTAACTTCTTTGTTTTACAACGATTTCTATGTATTTGTTATAAATTCTTGTAATGCACTTCAGATCCTCCTCCTAGACGAGGCCACAGCTTCCATCGACACGTCCACAGACGCCTTGATCCAGGAGACGATCCGGGACAGCTTCTCCGACTGTACTGTCCTTACGATCGCACACAGGCTCAACACCGTCTTACATTGTGACGTCATACTAGTTATGGAGGCTGGACAGGTGATAGAAACTGGCAATCCGCAAATGTTATTACAGAATCCGTATTCACAGTTCAACAATATGATTCGCGCTCAAAGTGTGCAGCCACCAGATGTTTAAGCTGAAGATAATATATGTGGATGAAGAAAACTAAAGCCTGTATTATATTTTGGCTTGATATTTATCTATTGTTTTTCCTATAAGATATATTTCCCTTGTCGTTGACAGATACGTTACATTCTTAATGTCAAGTCAATGTTGTGTTCTTTTTACCTATATTTAATTTCATCGGGCGAAAGGTGTTCGTCACATATGTGTAAGGCTTGTTCCCCAGTCAACACTGAAGCCAGAACGGTCCCAATAATTGACCTGTACAATTTTCGGAATTCAAAGAGGTGTTTCTCTCTTCGTCAAGTCGACGAAACTTAGATGGTTTTAAACCGAACAAGAGTATATGATGATAACCATACTTCATCTGTTTACATTGATGGGTCTTACAATGCCCTTATTTCAGTCAAAAACATACCGTCAGTAGTGCGGCATGTTTGTATACAAAAGCACGTATTTGGTGTATGCATATTGCTTTTCACTTTCATGGCGTCACAAATTAATGAGTAACATTCTGCACGTGGCGTAGTCCCCTTAGGGGCGACAGCAGATCGTTGTCAACAAAACTACACCTGTGAAGGGGGTGGGGTGGGGGATTAGCTACTACAATAAGTCTAACAAAATAAAACAATCATTCAGGTTTAGCGAAGACAACACGGGAATTATCAAATATGAATATACTGATATGTTTTTCGTTTGATTTGTATGAATAGCTTTTCATAAATCTTTAATAAATATTCATTAAACACACGAATCATTTCTAAAAGCGTTAACAGTGCATGGCTTGTCGTCAAACATATCATTGATCGTTTATATCACTGTCAACCGTCGAACAACCAGTAATCTCACTAACTTATATAAAGGACCCTCAATAGGCCTTAAGGGTCACCGTAGTTGTCATTGTGACGATAAAAATAAATAGCTCCTGTTCACCATATATGGCTGTTCGGGTTTCTTGACAAATTGTTGACGGTAGAGACCAACATATGATATATATATATATATGGCTGGTAATTGTCAATTTTAGTGAATGGACCAGATCATTTTAATGATCCCTTCACATGCCAATACATAGAGTTAAAACAAGAAAGTCAATAAATACTTACAAAAGAAATATATGTGTGCAAGAGAATTGAGGCGGGGAAACAGTAAATGAGGTAAGGGGTTAATAAGGCTTGAAAGCCTTTTTAATTTAGACAACCTGGTATGTGTTACAATACCGGTTTAAATATATTTTGGACTACCAGACAAGAAGTTGAATTCTTGGAAGTGTATTTACTTCATTTCAAAATGTAACTTGCATAAATTACCCATTAAGACAATTCTTTTGGGGTGGTCGAAGTGTGCCGTGACGAACGGGGTTGGATTCTGTATAATGTAATAATTATAATGTATTCTGGTCACCACATGCCCGACCACGTCGGTTTTCTCCGGATATGTGAGTGTCCTCTGCAAAAAGCACTCTAAGGAAGATCTTAAATAAATAAGACATAGAGAATCGACCTCAGGACCGAATTCCACTCGTCACGTGACGCCACTTTGCGAATTAGCTAAGTACATACATTGTTTCATTTATTTTCTTTCTTTATTATTAAGTCTTAATCCATGTGCATGTCTATTTACTTATGTTTGGCATATGACATGACACACTCGGAGATTAGAAAGGAACGCATCCGTGATACTCCAGAGGTTACGCTCCCTTATGCTCCTTGCATAGACCGTATCGTTGATGAGAGCGTTGGTCTGTTGGAAAATTATACATGCATGCCCACGGTCTATCATCCAATAAACCATAGCTATTAAACTAATAAAATGTGTTGTAACATCGCAAACACGGTAAGAATCAGTATGCAACACACAAAGTTTTCGTCATACAGTAAAACAATGGTCATTGTAGTTTGCTCTTATTGACCCTTGACCTCGTCTTTCTGTCACCTTTTTATGCATTCACATAAAAGCTAAACTCCATACTTCGGTATGATCTTTAGCTAAACAAATTCATCGAAAATCTGTCAACACGTTGATCTACAAAGTATTCAGGTTGTCCGTTAAATATATTTATATTCCTCTATTTCCTTTCCTTAAGAACTCAAGTTACTCAAATTGTTCCTTTATTTTCTTTCATTGTCAAGTTACTAAAAATATTCCTCTATTTGCTTTCATTGTCAAATGACTCAAAATATTCCTATATTTCATCTTATTGTCAAGTTACTCAAAACACTCCTCTATTTCCTTTCATTGATAAATTACTCAAATTATTCCTCTATTTCCTTTCATTGTCAATTTACTCAAATTATTCCTCTATTTACTTTCATTGTCAAGTTACTCCAAATATTCGTCTATTTCCTGTCATTGTCAAGCTACTAAAAAGTATGTCATATTTTTCCAATGAGAACACAGAAACGTTAATCTCAAATCTAGAGTTCTTAGGAACACGTCACAGACAGCAACGCTGTCAGGTTGATTTTCGTTTCAATCTATTTAACGAGTTGTAAGCTATCCGCATGTTCGTTTGAACGCATTTTAACGTTGGTTCGTGATTCTTTGGTTTAAAATTCTGCTCCTTCGGTTTAGAACTTCGTAGATTTTTGTCAATTGTTGGACACCCTGATACGTTTTTAACATATTTACATTATTGATATTCAAATTGCTGTAAAACTGTCCGACTTTTTCGCATCTCTTGCCTTACCTTGTTCTTGTCACATGGTGGGGTCCTCACCACAAACTTCTCGTCCTTTGATATGTCCATACTCTTCCCTCTCTTCGTTTCTTCATGTACAGTATTGCAATGCTTTTTGGTATAACACCAAGTGGCGTCTCTTCATTCCGGAAGTCGTTTCGCGAACTGCTCTTCGTATTTGCTATTCGCAACACTGGGAGGATTTCCGGCAATCTTTTAAATCTCTAGTTAATGACCGATTTTTTAATGACAATTAGCCTTCTGTTAAAATAAGGTTGGACATTTCAAAAGTGATTCATCAAAACTATTTTGAAGTTTTCACAAAAGCAGATCCCCAATCCCTCGGGGAAATGTCAAATGATACATTAGTTATAATACCACGTTCGTATCAACCCTCCAACCACATCAGCCATCGGGCAATTGTCAAATGATACACTAGTTATAATACAACAGGTCGTATCAACCCTCCAACCACATCAGCCCTCAGGGAATTGTCAAATGATACACTAGTTATGACATATCAGGTGTAATCAACCCTCCAACCATATCAGCCCACGGGAAACAGTCATATGATAATCCAGAAATGATATCTTGGGTGGGATAAATCCTTCACCCATATCAGCCCTCAGGACATTGTCATAATATAAACCAGTTATAAAACCTCCGGTCGCATCAACCCTCCTTCCATATAAGCCATTGGGAAAGAGACATATGATAAACCATTATAGATTATCACACCGTATTTTCAGGGTTTGTCGTGAGAACAATTTTCGCATCGCGAGCACGTGGATAAAATCGAGAGGCCACCGCAGTTGGTCTCGATATTTTATCTACATGCGAGCGATGAGAAAATTAGTCGAAAGATAAACACTGAAAATACTGTATGATAAACTATTTATCATCAATATACTACTACCTTATATATTTCTCCGTTTCAAAAGTCAACTAAAAACTATTTTTTCCAAATGACTTCTAAGCATAATGGTCAAAGATCGCCTGTGACAAACGTAAACAAACAGAAGTTTTGCAAGTGTAAGAATACAAAGAACCTTAATACTACGTAGATATACCTCAAGTCGCATAGTAATGATAATAACTGGAGGTTCTTATATACCTCTTTATCACAATCTAGTTCGTAGGACGTCTCAAAGCGGTTCACAAATTATTATCCGTGGTTATAGGGCCTTTGCAATCAGCCAATACATTTCTCAACTCCCTGTGGAGCATACAGCTGGAGCTGCAATTTCGGCGCTAACAGCTACCATTCAACAACTCTAGTAAACTGGACCAAGCGGAGTAAAGTATCTTGCTCAAAGATACAACACATTGCCGTGCCGTGGCGTGAAACCGCAACCCTTCGGTCACGAGCCCGGCGTCCTACCACTGGACTTCCGTGCCTCCTTCTTCCATAACAGTATTGGGTAAAGAGACATTTGATAAACCAATTATGATAGCTCAGGTCGTATCGTACCTCTACCCATATCAGCCCTCAGGATAAAGTCATATGATAAACCAGTTGTAATACATCAGGTTTTATCAACCATCCATACATATTAGCCAACGGGCTATGGTCATTTGACTAACCGATTATAATACCTCAGGTCGTATCAAACCTCTACCAACATCAGCCCTCAGGATATAGTCATATGTTAAACAATTATAACATCCAGGTCGTAAGAGCGCTCCATCCATATCAGCCCATGGGATAAAGTCATATGATATACCAGTTGTAATACATCAGGTCGTATCAGCCATCCATCCATGTCAACCCACGGGATATGGGAATTTGAGAAACGATTATAATACATCAGATCGTATTAACGTTTCATCCATATCAGCCCTCGGGAAATAGTCATATGTTTAACCAATTTTAACATCCCAGGTCGTAGCAAACCTCTTCCCATATCAGCCCTCAAATTTTAACTGTAAATATTTGTATCGACACCTTTAATTTACAATGGTATACATAATTATGTAAATACATTGATGTCATGTACAATAATAAGAAAATAGTCATATGATAAAACATTTATAAAACCTCTAATATAGCAACCATCCATCAACATCAGCCCTTGGTAAACAGTCATATGATAACCTGTAATAAATAACATGTTCGTGTAAGCTTATGAACTTGATACAACTGTGTTTTACTGATTAGTAACTTACACCAAACTTAATGTCGTGTTTAGACAATGATTATCACAATTCGATATCGTACAGTGTTACGTATTGTACAAGTATATATAAGAGAGGTATCGGTATCGGAATCCGAAGGGCATTTTTGACGAAAGGATCTGGTCTACCTCAACAACAGAGGGTAAAACCTGTAATA